TGTAAAAGATTTGTTATATTTATTTTTTGTTGTTTTTATTTACATGTATAAATTCAGTTATGTGATATTGTTTTAATTTGCCTCGATAGATTCACCATATGTTTGGCGCAATATAGCCCGGTTGGAGCTGACGTGCCATTAAACAACATTTCATTTCATTTCGATTATCCGGTTATACGTGACAAGGAGTAGGGTCGCCTGTCCAACCTCGTGGGTTTTCCCCGGGCCCCCGGTTTCCCCCACTGCTAAAGACCCCTACGCGCTAATGAATTATTGAAATAAAATTGAACCATGTGTTAGTCCCGAAATGACCTGGTTTGTGTCGAGTGGACGTTAAACCCCATCTCTCTCTCTCTCATTTTTAAAATATAATATTTAATGGTTTTAATTACGATTTAACAGCCACAAACATAAGGCTTATATTATGTCAACCATATTTTATGCAGATTTAGCTCAAAGTATATTAAGCAAATTACAGCGATCAGTAGATGTTGATAAATATAGTCCTCATCAACCTGCTTCTACTTTAAAATAAATTAAGATTATTATTATCATTCAGTTTATGATGCATCGGACATCTTCAATAGACTGCTTCATCTCGCTTTAACTCCGTGCATCTTATCAAGCCTTTCACATAATACCCTGCATATTTCGGCACTAATTTCAATTGGTTACTGACCAAACTGGAGAACCTGTCAGATTCCTCGATGATTGCAAATACAAAGTTGGAAAGTTCAAAGTTCGTTCAATGTTAAGGTTTCCGCGCATTTCGCTATGTTTGATTTGAGTTCAAGGGAGGTAACATAGCTATAAGTTCTGGATTTGCAGACCAGACTAGCAACGTCTAGATCGTTGCTTCAGGAACATGCTCATCGGCTGACCGGATGAATTACCCTTATATTTCGTGTTTAGAATGTCAGTTAACTCGTCCACACGAAAAGTCGTCCACAAATATCAAAATACGTTGGTTGATTCTTCCATTCGGCATTGGTTGTGTTATGAATACGGATAAAATCCATAGTTATTAAAATGAAGTGTACTGAGTTTTGCGTTTTTTCGTCATACCGCATGGTTTTCATTGTGTTTGATGAGTATAAGTTGCATGACGTCAACTGGCAGACCATAGCCATTTCGAAAACGGCCACTGTTGAGACCAGTCACATTAAGTCCGCTTGTATATTCCCCCTATATTTCTAGTCTAGTTAAATTCTAAATTTATTTCTGTACAAAAACAGACACACTTGTTACAGAAAATCGTCTGAGAAGCTCAATATAATTGCATCCGTGATCAATCGATTATTTCGAAAACTGTTCTATTGTCTTTATATCTTTTGTTTTCAGGTTTAAAAATTATTCAGATATCATTATCACTTGTATTTGTGCTATATTTACAGCTATTTTACACAACCTTTTTCATATTTAAATTTGATAAAAGCTTTCATGATATTTGTGGAGGTCGTGTCTTTTTCCATCTGTATGATCACGTGCTCTAACTGTCTTTTCCGATAATGTTTTTTTAAACGTTTCAATGATCCATTGGTCCATAGGCTGTGACTTTGATGTTGTATTAGCTGGAAAAAACTGGAGCTTAACGTTTGACAGTTATAAATGTGGGTGTGATGGCGCGTTATCCAAAAATAAGAGAATTTTCTGGCCGCATCTGCTTATTTACTGACTGCAGTCATTCTTCGAAAATAGCCGCCGTCATCCAGGCCTTCTTATTGCTTCGATACATAACGGGAAGCTTGTTAACGTCCTTCACCTTGCTAAAACATCAAGGTTTTTTTGATCGTCCTAACACTAGGGTTTTCAGCCTTTCCCCGGTCAAACTGGCACACAATGCAACGGAAAGTATTTCCTTTGACCGCTTTCCTCCGACACAGTCACCCTCCTTAACGTGGACAGATTTCCGCGACCCGTCTTTGTAAAATAAACCTGTTTCGTCCATGTTGAAGATGTCTTTTGGTAGAAACCCACATGCACAACTGTGACACTTTTGATTTAAAATCGTCTACTTCACCCATATCTACGTCTGCCCGCTGCCCCATCCGAAAACTATATTGTGTCGGGAAAGAAATGACCGTAGCCATCCGTTAGAAGCTTTAAATATTTCTAATTCCAAATTCTCAGCAAACTGCAATGCCTTTGCTTGTAGTAGAGGCCCGTTCACTGGGGCATTTCGTTTCCGACAATCTTTAAAAAATCCACAGACAAGAGTGTTTATGTCTTCGTTCCCTATCACACGTTTTGCACGCTTTCTATCTGGGACACAGACCTGAAATTCTTGTAACAAAATATTCTGAATCTGCGTTCTGCCAACACATATCGAATCTGCTATTTGCCTACCGCTTTGACCCTGCACTGAGAGGTTAATGACCTTTACTCGTTCCTCGATCGTTAAAACTTTCCGTAATTTAGACATACACGTACAAGGACTTTTTATTTTGTGTTTTTACCAATTTTAAGGTGACTTTTGATATACACGGACGTTTTTATTTTATGCTTTTACCAATAGTCAACCCATTACAGATGGGTTCCCGCGTACAAACTGGGTGATTTAATGGTATATAGGGACTAAAAACATATTCAAACTAATTAATTTGTCATAATTTTGCTTCAAATCCTTCTCAAACATTGTAATTGCGAAGGAATGTCCTGCTATAAAAATTCGATCAAACCAGGTCTTGTTACGTCACGTCACTTACCTCGCTTATAAGTCAAGAGGAGAATTCTAGCATACATAAGACGATGTTGTCTTTAATCGCTTACTATTTATTACAAATATCGAATCCTAATTAAATTCTCGGATTATCCACTACCCGCGTCTTTTTTTTTTTTTATCTCAGAAAGTGTTGTACGTCTAACTCTTCATAAACTTTATCAACTTGTACATCAAGCGCTCAATGTTCGCGTGTGACATCACGCGTGCAGAAATTCCTAATCGTCGGGCTGTCGATTAAGGGAACCCTTATATTTTTGTCCTGTATACGCTCCATGAGTGTTTTTCGGGGAATCCAGTATTTTTCTAGTAAGATTGGATATCTCTACTTTCCATATATACCAAAATTACCGTACATTTATTGCAAATAACCACCCGATAAATACTTTTCTGGAACCCAGAAACATTCATCGTCCGCGCCACAACCGCCTGTGTTGTGCCGATCTGTAGCATGCCAAGGGCACGTAACCTTTCATTTTGGGTAAGCCGACGCATATCAAAATTTGTTTTCTGGTCACTAAAACAATTAAACTGATGTTTCCACCCTGGAATTCAATGCCACAATGACTGTAACATTCAAAGTCAGAGTCGTGCAAATCTTGGGTTGGACCCCCATGATGATCCCAAGCATCACCTGCATTCCATGCGGTAGCTATTGGTGCGTTTGGGCGTCACATGTAACTCGAAATGTTTCTTCTATTAGGTTCTATAGTGACTTTTTTCGTAGTCATTTGCATATTTTAGTATTATGCCCCCAAAATCAAATATCCCCTACTTTTTTTGAATAGTATATTATCACCCAATAATACATTCTACAGTAGATATCGCTTGTGTGATATATTTCATAATCTACTGCGATATCAGTTGAAAAGGAGCTTTTTTTTTATTATTTTCAAAGAACAGTTCATTTCTTATTAAAAGTAACTTTTTTTTTTGTTAAAAATGAACTACATGTATTGTTATTCAATTGACCTTGATGGAAACACTGGTCAATATAAAGGACTTTACAATGGTTGAATTGCTGTCAAAAAATGATGTATCACTACGCTGTAATGTTCAGTAAAAGTGAAATCTGCAGCAAAGAATTATATTTATCTATTTGTGCATGTAAGAAGGGATTGGGTGATAAATCAAATCTCCCACTCATCTTTTTTTATATCAAAAAATACTGGTAGGAGATTCTCTATATATACTCTTAAAAAAAGTAGGGGATATCAAGCCCGGCGGAGTGGGGGGGCTTTAGCCCCCCCTATAATTTGGCCGCAAGTACTCTTTTTTCCAGGTTATTGCGGCCCCTGGGCCCACGCCTATAGGACCTAGGATGGAAGTCCCCCCAATCAAGAAATGCTTCCTCCGGCCCTGGATATTCAGAAACAATACAAAACTGCGGAAATGCACTACTGTTTTTATTAGAGGTAACCAGTGTATGTTAATAACAGGCCAATTGCCTACACATGAACATAAGTTCATGATGGCCGATTTATCTGACGGCCCCATTTCACTCGCAAAGAGATGCACTGTTAAAAGTGAAAATGGACGTTTTTGATTTTTGTCGTAATGAGTAATTGCTCCACAAATCCTCAGACATTTAGCAATTCGTCGTGGCATGCTCCTAATCAACCGCCCAATCACGATTTGAGTTAATCTGACCCACTCCTCTTGCAGTGCCACGGCCAGTTCTTGCAGTGTTGTCCGTTGACGTCGACGAACACGTCTCCCGATCAAATTAAACGTAACACGCTAAAGCAAAGATACGCTAAACAGTAAATCGTATGCAAAAACAGATGGGAAAACAAACATGGATAGGATAAACCAGCAAGCGGCAGTTTTCATCAACCCTTCCTTGAAGTGTCAAATTTGACAATGAACCCCTCCCCCGTGTATGGTGCTATTGCGTGTTGCACATGCAGCTCAGTGGTTCTGTTGGGGCGATAAGTCCATGACTATTTATCATATCAAAACCTGCATAGGTATTTGCATTTCAATATCCCCTATTTTATTTGAAGAGTATATATATCAAGAAATAATTACTATCAGATATAAAAGTCAAATCTCAGTGACTATATACCATCAAAGCTTGTTGATGATCATAGATATAATATATCAACATGAAAATGTGTGTGTAGAAAGATATGTTTCGACCTTTATCAAAGAGATGATGAAAATTACAAGGTATTGGTAATGTTTTTATCTCAATTGTGAGTTATTCAGGTCGGATGTATCCAAGTATTAAATCAGTATACAGCCTTCTTTCGGCCATACCGGAAATCAACTAGTTAAAAAAGACTGTTTTCCTCGCATGTTTAATTTTATACTGTCATGCTGTCATACTGATGAAAATTAAGCCGTAAAACCTAATGGAAAACTAGTCTGATCGACGATAAGCCGTTTTTATTTAGTGTTTTAGAGTCAGATCAATCATTTATGTCTTACAGGTTCCTTTTACGAACACTCTTACAAACAAAATAATGGTGAGTCAAGTCTAAAAAGATTAGACCTACAACAGTGATATCTCTTGTTACTAATTGTACTTTTCAAGTCTACAGCTGACAAATAAAATGTATTTATTCATCAAAAGCTGACTTCAAATCTCAAAACATTAAACATTCAATCTTATTCGTCACTTGACTTAAAGTAGCTAAGTCTCTAACTCAATATCATCCAAATTCTTCGACATTGAAAACACCAATTAGTTATCAATTTAAATCAGCATTGATGTTGTGATCTTACCAGGAAAAGATAGGCTTCTGATATCCAATATTTAAGATAAAATTAACATTTTATCATTGGTACACGAATCGTGTACCATAAAGCCTTTCAGCACCATTTGTAACAATGGACTTGATGAAGGAGGCTAGCAGATTCCACAAGTCATGTCAAACAGTGACGACATATTCTTATCTGGAGAGCATGCACAATAAATACTATCGGTGTAGACTGGAATAACCAGACGCTAGAGATTGCTATTCGATTGAGACTTCTGGCCCATGTCTTCGAACATAACTGATTAGAAATTAGAGTAAAAACAGAAACGATTGAATGTAAATCAGTTTATATACATTCATATTACATTATTATATGCGTTTCAACACATTTATGTTAATTTATAGGTCTCGAATATTAGCGATTTTGCTCCTTTAACTGTGGACGAATCCATTTTTGACTTGGATTTTTAATCATAAATATCGAAGCCTAAGTAAATTCTTTGATTATCCACTGCCAACTTCTTTTCCTGCCATTTTTAGTTGGGGTAATCAGGGTCAATAAACTTCCATTCTCTTTCATAAACTTCTACTACAAATATTTGTTATGTTATGTTCTGAATGATATTTATGATTAGCCTTCCACAAAAATATTATTTTAGAAAAATATGTGCACCTCATACTTTCCATGATTGTTTCATGTACTGGCTCGAAGTTCACGTCAATAATATTACTCAATAATTACCTGCCTTAGTTTATATGATAGAAATGAAAGTGAAATGTCTGTGATAAGAATAGTTCTGTCCGTCAAAACCTCTTTATAAAAAGGTATTTTAAAATTAGATCGATAGGTGTATTTATCTTGTCTCAAAATTTCACCTCAAAATATTGATTCGTTTGGACGTGGACATCAAACCGCTTATAAATCCGGACACGTAATCCTTTTAAGATTTCAGGTCATTTTTTTCGTTGGGTGACCTTATAATCTATTGCCGTTCTTTTAGAGGTCTATACAGTGCATGACCCACCTGCTGTACTTGATAACAAAAGGTAAATTTCACCTACATGTTATTTTGTGAAAAATAAAAGTCGGGTTTTATCCAGACACCATATAATACAGCTTGGGACACTGGTCTAGATTTCTAGATGAAAGCTGATGGGTTTAAGTTGTTTGAAAACGTACCACGTATATTGAGTTAGTTGCTCGGCACCTAAGGTGGAGGATTTTAACACAAAATTAAGCAGTTTTATTCTCCAAAATATAATCGAGATTGGCCCTTTAACATTGATATATTACAGGCAACACTGGGCTGCTTTAACATTGATGTATTACAGAAAACTATAAAATTGAAAAGAAAGTTGCCAGATTTTTTTTTTAAAACCAGGGTTTAGAGTTGTTTATTTTATTTGTCAAATCAAATACATTTTGTACTTTCCAGGGGGGTGGGATGGCCGAATGGTTAGCACGTGCGCTCTGTATCATATGGTCTGTCATTAATTCAACTGATGTGGTTTCGACTCCCCGGTTGTACGTGACAAGGAGTAGGCTTGCCTGTCCAACCTCCTGGGTTTTTCTGGGTCCTCCGTTTTCCTCTCACCGCTAAAGACCCCTACACGCAAGCAAATTGTTGAAATAAAATTGAATCATGTGTTAGTCCCAAAATGACCTAGTTTGTGTCGAGTGGACTTTAAACCCCATTTCTCCCTCTCCCTCTCTCTCTTCTACTTTCCAGCCACCTTATAAATAGATTACCGTAGCTCTCTACCCTTCATGGGGACTATAACTATTGCTGTTATAACTTATATAATTACAGACACTTAATGCTGTTATAACTTTTGTATATTACAGGAAACTAATGGTGTTTTAACGTTTCATCAGTGTACAATATGTGATGAGATTTTTCAACAACTTGATGATTTAGAAAAGCACAACAAAGTTCACATTAAAGAAGAGAAAACTGATGATGTAGATGAATATGGTCATGTTAAAGAAGAGAAAACTGATGATGTAGATGAATATTTTAATATTAAAGACGAGAAAACTGATGATGTGGATCAATTTGGTCATGTTAAAGAAGAAAAAACTGATGATGTAGATGAATATGGTCATGTTAAAGAAGAGAACACTGTTGATGTAGATGAATGTTGTGGTGTTAAAGTGGAGCAAACTGTTGATATTGACACATACTATCAGTGTAATCTGTGTAATAGAGAATTTGAATTAGAAACTGATTTAGAAAAACACTGTGAAATACACATTAAAGAAGAGGAGTCTGTTTTACAACTTGATCAAAATAGCGAGACAAGTTTTAGCCAGAATAATGAAACAGAAATACGAAATTCACAAGATTCTAATCAATGTGACATTTGTGGTAAACATTTTATTAAAAAGTATTGTCTTCAAATTCACATGAGAATTCATACGGGAGAAAGGTCTTGTAAATGTGATGTTTGTGGTAAATCATTTAATCAGAGTAGTAGTCTACAAGAACACATGAGAAGTCATACTGAAGAAAAACTTCATACATGTGGTGTTTGCCATGAATCCTTTATGAAAAAATCAGACTTACAGATTCATATAAAAATTCATCCTGGAGGGAAAGTTTATAAATGTGATGTTTGTGATAAATCATTTAGTCATAGCAGTAGTTTACACCAGCACATTCGACTTCATACTGGCGAGAAGCCTTATAAATGTGATGTTTGTAGTAAATTGTTTAATAAACCATATTACCTGCAGATTCATATGAGAATTCATACCGGAGAGACCCCTTTTAAATGTGATGTTTGTAGTAAATCATTTATTGGCAAGGGCTATCTGCAGTCCCACTTGAAAACTCATACAGACCAGAAACCTTTTAAATGTGATGTTTGTAGTAAATCATTTATTAAAAAGTGTTACCTTCTCGTTCACATGAGAATTCACACGGGAGAAAAACCTTATAATTGTGATGTTTGTGGTGAGACATTTCGTGGCAACACCTACTTACAGTACCACTTGAAAAGCCACATAGGAAAGAAACCTTTTAAATGTGATGTTTGTGGTAACTCATTTACACATCTTTCGTATCTGGAGAGACACAGAAGAAGTCATACCGGAATAAAACCATATAAATGTGATGTTTGTGACAAATCATTCACTGATAATTACCGGGTACAGCAACACAGAAGAATTCATACAGGGCAAAAACCATATAAATGTGATGTTTGTAGTAAATTATTCACTGATAGCAGTGGTCTTCGGAGACATGCGAAGACTCATGTAGGTGAAAAAAATGTACAAATGTGATGTTTGTGATAAATCATTTACGAATAACAATTATTTACATAAACATTTTAGAACCCACAGTGAAGAGAAGCCATATAGCTGTGGTGTTTGTGATAAAAGATTTTGAGATAACCGTAGTCTACAGAGACACATCAAAACACATAGCTGAGAGGTTTTTAGATAACCGTAGTTTACAGAGACACACATCAAAACACATAGCTGAGAGGTTTTTAGATAACCATAGTTTACAGAGACACATCAAAACACATAGCTTAGAGTTTTTAGATAACCGTAGTCTACAGAGACACATCAAAACACATAGCTGAGAGGTTTTTAGATAACCGTAGTTTACAGAGACACATCAAAACACATAGCTGAGAGGTTTTTAGATAACCGTAGTTTACAGAGACACATCAAAACACATAGCTGAGAGGTTTTTAGATAACCATAGTTTACAGAGACACATCAAAACACATAGCTGAGAGGTTTTTAGATAACCATAGTTTACAGAGACACATCAAAACACATAGCTGAGAGGTTTTTAGATAACCCTAGTCTACAGAGACACATCAGAACACATAGTAGAGGCAATATCTTGTAAGACAGACTTTAAAATGAATCCCTGTTTCACATCTGAAAGCATGCTAGGTGACTATGCTGCTGTTCTGCATAATCTTGAGAATTGTTTGAAATTTGTTAGAGAACAAACATTTAAGATTCAGAATTTTTAGTCATTATATTATAGTAAAGCACAGTATTGTATGTACATGTCAAGTCACTGTACATGTAATTTTAACCATTTTGATTATGTTAAAATTGAGTTGTTTATATTTATTGGAGAGGGGTGAAATGACTGTTCTCCGATCCCATTCATTTACAAATATAATAAAACATTCCCCAGACTTAAAAATATCTCTGTTTCTCCTGATGCTACCGATCAAATGAAACCATATCCCCTCCTTCCAAATTAAAATATTTTATTGTCCATTATTTCGTGCCAACTTGAAATATGTCGTAAATACAGTTGAAAAGGACATGAAAGAAATCAATTTGTACCCTTGTATCCAATTTAAATATGACAGTTTAATTTTGATAATGAGCATTCAATTTACTACCGTTTAATTTCCCAACTAGTATCAGTTGTACGTGACAAGGAGTTGGGTCGTCTGTCCAACCTCGTGGGTTTTCTCTGGTTTCCTCCAACTCAAAAAGACACCTACGCGTAAGCTTACGTTGGACCCATTTATACTACAAAAAAATGAATCGTGCCGTGCCTGGCATGCTTAAAATATGTAACGTAAATGTGGTTATAGTATTTATGGTTCTTTTTGATCCTACCTAGGAATTTTGTATGTGAGCGTCATCACATTTGAGAACATTAATGAAATGTTAAAATTGATATACTTGACTATGTCAGTGGGAAATAGTTAATAGTTAATATATAAAAACTGTTTGGTTATGGTATTATATACAGTTTAATATATATCATATAATATTAGAACACTTAGTATGGATACAATCGTGGATCACGTGGCTAAGTGGGTGAGATGCTTGCTCGCTAGCCTGGAGGTCGGGTGTTCGATCCCTGCATTGGCCAAGAAAGTTCATCCAGATTTTCCGGCGTGGTTTCCCCTTGTTAGTGATGCAGGACGGAGGAGCTGACAAGGAAAGCTGTCTAGTCGTTCGGATGGGACGAAAAACTGAGGTCCCGTGTACACATTGGCGTGCACATAAAAGATCCCTTGGCAGTTTGAATTCGATATAAGAGTAGGCCGTAGCGCCGCTGCCCGGGCAAAATTTCCCTCATAGCACACTGTATGGCGTATGCCCGTCTTCATTAGCCCAGTTTAGGAGCAGAACAGTAGGACGTTAAACCCCATTTCATTTATGGATACAATCACTTGGTTTATTATACTACATGTAAGTCTTTTAGTATTATTAGATCATAAATCAATTGCTAAATGCCTCTCAAGGATTATAAATCATGTAAAACTAAGAAATATTCTTGAAACTAGTTCATTGCTTTATTTATTCTTAAGACTAAACCATAAATTAATTATACTTTAAAACTACAGATCCACGGTTCAATCTAATTGGAATGGGGCTACAACAATTAAACATGCAGCGAACAGTACACAAACAGAGCACAAATGATCAATATGCCAAAGTGAATAATAAGTGGGTTTTTTTTATCCACCCATATTTTTATGTGGTTAAAAACAAAGTCATGGGTATCACAAAATCATCTTTTATAGCATCTAACGTTTCATGTATAAAAACTTACTTCCTCAGAGAACACTACTACACAAATGAAATTTAAGTACAAGGGGAGTCATAGTAACCAGTGATGACATCATAACTTGATGACATAATATAAAGAATAAGCTAAATATAGATAAATGATCTCATAGTTAAAAATAGAAATAATAGAAAAGTAGGTTAATTAATTTTGTTTACAAGCTGTAATATTTAAACCATTGGGCCATACAGAGCTTAATCTGTGGATCCAAAGTGATTCAGCAATACAGCAAACCTCGCATTAGTCTGATCTTTGCTCATCTCGGATAAAATCGTTTGGATCCTTTCATCCTTCACATTTTTCTTATTAAATTTCTGCGCGTAAGTCAGATTTCCTAAGTCAGATCTTTGCTCAAATCGGATCAAAATGTTCGGTCCATTTGATCTAATTCCGGCTTTTTTCCTTCGCCTAAGTTGGACTGGCAGTATGTTCAGAATTTCACTGTCAGTTTCATCCCGATGGTCTAAAACGCTGTTAGGTATTCCATGCACAGAGCCCCAAAATACTTTCCTCTATCACTTTGAATCAAATCAGTCAATTTGACGCGACGCAATAATAGAATTTTCCCGGAAAATTCGAAACTCGCTGTCTGCTGTACGAGACACTTTCTGGGAAAATTTAGGACATTTTTCAAAGATGGCGACAAAATGGAAGTTATCTACTCGCACCAAAACGGAAGTTATCTACTCACACATACGAACAAAAGCTTGAAATGTGCCTTTGAATCAATTATTATCCGGCTCTTGCAGTTTATTTCTAATCGAGCTAAGATTGAATTTTGGTCTTTGGCTAACTCGGACCCTCGCTTAACTCAGATGAAATTGGTCAGTCCACTTAGATCCGACTTATGCTAAGTTTACTGTATAAGGTTTGGCTCTATCGTTTTGATATAAGATATAAGAATCATGACCAGGGGCCGGTTGCTCAAAACTAAGTTATTTTAACGATCCGTTAGAGTTTAACCGATCGTTATCTTGGTAACTTGTCGTTTGTTAACAGTCTGTTAAATTTCTGTTGCTGGAAAGTCAATTTCATTATCCGTTAGCTAACGGATTCATTAAAGTTAATCCAAGAGAATACTGTTTGTTCATTGGCTGAATTTTAAATTTTTGAATTCAATGTACATGTATAACAACTTCATAGAAGTTAGTATTTTAATAGAAACTGAAGACAGTGAGACAACTAACTGTGCAGTCTGTTCACAAAACTTGATTAAAGACAAAAAGATAACTAGAATTTACTACAGAAAACACCATAGAATACTTTATTTTTTCCTTTAGAAATTTTAGCATAAATCTGTAGGAAAAATGATGGGATTTGCACTACAGAATTATGGGGCCATTATTTCCTACAGGCCACCAAAATTCTGTAAAATAGTATAGAATTTCATCCTATAGAAAATGGAATAGGCCCGCATCGGTCAACCCCATAGAATGTTCTATAGAAAATTACATAGGTACAATGTAATCTATGACTTTTTGCTACAGCCAACTAATGGCATCATTAAAAAGATAACGGAGACCAACACCTCCGTTAAATATAACGCCAAGTTAACTACACGTTAAAGTTAACGGGGCTTCCAGCAACAACCTTTCTCTCCGTTAAAGTTAATGATCCGTTAACTCCATGTTAACGGATCGTTAAAAGATAACAGAGCTTTGAGCAACCGGCCCCAGGTGTATTACAATGTGGAGCTATGTCAGGTGACTTTCCAATCTTTTTCAATTTAATATTACTTCTATGACTATTCAGTTTGGTACTAAAGGGCTTGATAATTTGGCCAACCTACTGTTTCTTAAAAAAAACCTCACAAGTTATACCGTTATACACTAAATAACATTCGAACTATGGCAATTTAAACAATTAGCCTTAATATAAAAAGTTTACATGGTTTCCATCCATTATAAAAAATCACTTTCAACTACAGACAATCCAGATGTTTTCATTCTATTCACTTCACAGACACTTGAAGGGAGAAGGGATTAAAATTTCTTACATTATCTTATTTAGCATAATACAATAAATACATGAAATGTTCAATTCAGTGACATTGGGTATTGTATAAGAATTAAATAAAGTCTAGTCTGCAATAAAACAGAAGGAGAGCATTACATATAGTGAGTATTGCTTGTGAGATAATCAAGGAAGAAAATGTCTTCAATGAGTCAAAACTGTATGACGAGTGATATACCTATATTGTAGTATGCTAGCCAAGATAATGTAAGAAATGTTTATACTTTCAAAACCAACAGTCTTACACTTCTTCTGGCATATCACAATTTTTGATTAATCCAATAATGCTGGTCTCTAAAATAGAAGTATCTTGGGCTAAAGTATGTAAATTAGGTTAATGGGGGTCAAATGTGGTTACCCATGGCATAATGTTCTCCTTATTAATATCGTTGTTTTTATATTGCAGTAATTGATTTCTGTTTTTTGATGGACTGTTTTAATGACTTAAGCTTTATATCCACATTGTTTGAGGTAAGTTTCAAATTTTGCTAAATGGTAGCCGCTCCATTCTGGTTTGCTTCAAATACACTTCATGTGATGGATCCACTGTAAACTATGGAATTAAAGATATGGTGAGGATGACAGCTGGATATTTGAAGATATTGATGACTATAATAATAATAATAATCGTTTTCTATAGCGCTGAACATTCAGTCAGTCTCATTCTCGTGTGTGTTTGTAGTTATTTCTCATAGTAAATGATTTACCACAAACGTCACATCTATAAGGTTTTCCCCTGAATGAAGTTTCATGTGGGTTCGTAGACTAGTACCGGTAGTAAAAAGTTTTCAACAAACACCACATTTAAATGGTTCCTCTCTAGTATGATTTCTCATGTGTAGATGCACTTTCTGAATAAATGATTTTGATGCAGGACGGAGGGGGCTGACAAGGAAAGCTGTCTAGTCGTTCGGATGGGACGAAAAACCGAGGCCCCGTGTACACATTGGCGTGCACGTAAAAGATCCCTTGACAGTTGGAATTCGATATAAGAGTAGGCCGTAGTGCCGCTGTCCGGGCAAAATTTCCCTCATAGCACACTGTATGGCGTATGCCCGTCTTCATTAGCCCAGGTTAGGAGCAGAACAGTAGGACGTTAAACTCCATTTCATTCATTTCATTCATTCAATAAATGATTTATCACAAATATCACACTTATAAGGCTTCCCTCCTGTATGAGATCTGATGTGTCTATGTAGAGCACTACTCTGGGTGAAGGATTTTCTACAAACATCACATTTATATGGTTTTTTGCCAGTTATTGGTGAAGGATTTACTACAAGCATCGCATTGATAAGGTTTTTATCCTGTATGAATACGATGGTGTTTTATAAGATCAGGAGTTCTAGAATATGATTTACTACAAACATCACATTGATAAGGTTTTTTCTCCAATATGAACTTGATTGTGCTGTATAAGATCAGTAGTTCTAATCTTTAAGTGGCATTTAGTGATTGGGGTACACAATAACAGAACACAATTTTTATGGGAAACAATCACTGGTTTTATTCTAATAGCACGACGTTTCAACAAGTATCCTCTTATCGTTATCAAGCTTGTCGAAACGTCGTGCTATTAGAATAAAAC